AGAGGCATTACAGCCTTTGGGATTATTTATATGGGATATAGATTTCCAGACTCAATATAAAGGTGGGTGTAATTTTTTAACACATTATTAACACATGCATCAAACGGGATATTATTTAAATGTAGCAACATTATTTAGATTCTCTTATCTAAAAAAATGATCATATAATTATATTATTTGATTCCAACTATTCATTAATATGAGATAAGAAAGAAAAAATATAAAATTTTTAAATAAATAATTGTGATCAAATAATATGACAATTTTTTCACGAGAGAATTTAAATCCGTAACAACAATCATATATGTCTTCCGAATTGCTCAGTTTATATTTGATGTTTGATTAGTTATGTTTATCCTGGGAAAATAATTATTTATTTCCATGTAGGGAGTTTGAGTTGGATTTTTGTCAGGAAAGGATTAATGAAAATACAGCTTGCTAACACTGAATAGAAAATCCTTCGTTAATAATTTGTGGAAGCTTTTCTTGTCCTCTTTCCTATTGTTTTCTTTCTCACCTCTGTCTCTTACATGTGATTAAATTCTGGGCCAATGATAATGAATATAATAATAAAGTAAACCCCTTTGTACTTAGAAAAAGGTGTTGTTGCTTTGATCTTCAAATAATTTTAATATCAATTCAGCTTTTAATTATGGAAAATAACATTAATTGGATTCTTTATAAATGTTTAGTCTCTCAATTATGAAAGTTTTATCAATTTAATCTTAAACCTTGCAGTCAACGCACATAAGGACAATTTTCATGTTACCTTTTATAATTAAAAGATTTATTGATATTAAAAAAAATTAGAAGATCAATATAACTACTCTTATATACTTTTTTTAATATGAATTTCACTTATATCTTTGGAACAAGGGTTTAATCATAAATCATAATAATATGATTCCTGTATACAATATTGTCCATTGACTAATCATTTTTATTGTGGAACTGGAACTGACCAAAACTACGTGAACTCTATTTTTAATTAATAATGTTTGAATTATTTTGTCGGTGTTCGGTTCAGAAAAGAAGTGTCACAACTCACAAACACATGCCAACAACGAAAATAGTGCTTCAACAGAAAAAAGCATTTTAGGTACAGGGAGGATATTCTTACTACTAAAATTTTTTACTACTAACTTATTATCTATCTAATCACTATTGAATCAAAGAGAGAATGCTAAAATTTTTTTGAAAAAAGAGAAATGTTGATCCAATGATGATTAAATAGATAATGAGTTAGTAATAAAAATTTTTGGTAATAAGTAAAGATGGATTGAGCAATGTTTAGAAATTATATTAAAGGGCTTGCTTCATGTCAGTACCCATCACTTGATACGACAGAACCAAGCAATCCATTATGGAAATGAGAGCTTTTATCATAAGACATAAGAAGATAAGAGGGTAATATGAAAGGTGGGAATAACTGCAAACCCACTTGCTCCCCCACCATTTTTCTCTCCACCTTCCTTTTTTGTTCCTTTTTCCTTTTGCTTGCAAAAGAGAAGAGTAGACAATTATTTTCCGAGGAATTTTCAGAGGTTCAAAGTTAAATTCAAACCCTTCAAAGTTGGGATGTCGGTGCTATGTGATTGAACTAAGCAATGACGTTCTTTTGTGGACACAAAAGATGGATAGAGCCATAAATCCGAGGATATTCTTTTAGCATGTTTGTTTCACCTTTTTTTTTTTATATATATAAAAAGAGCAATTTTTATGCCTTACTTATTTTAGAAGTATTTTTTAAAAGTTAAAATTATTTACTTTTTTAAAAATATTTAGTTTTTTATAAAAAAAAATATTTGACTTTTGACTTCTACATTTTTTAGAAGTTAAAATTTTTAACTTAAAAAAAGAGTAGATTTATGACTTTTTTTTATGACTTTTGTTTTTTTTTTTAAAAAACAAATATCCAAATAAACTTATATTAAGAAGTGTTATTTTTTTTTCGTGAAAAAAATCCATCCAAATGAGTCCTCAGTGGTGGGTCCTAAATAAGCATCTAAAAACATGGTTTCACATTGGGGAAAATGGATAAAATTATATACATAGTAACATGATTTTAACTAGATTCATATTATACTCGATTTAATGATTTTAGATAAATTATACTTAACCTATAACTCTATAAGTGATTTGTTTTTGTTTTTTTAACTTTGTTTACGTACTTTTTAAGGCAGACAAGCTACACCAAACTCATTTAAGGGTTGTCTTCCTTCTTATTCATTCAATGAGTGGCCGAGTCAACTTCACAAATCACTTAGACCAAGAAAAATTTAACCGGTACCAAATACTAAAATATAAAATGTTATTTAGCTATTGTAATTTTTGAATTTTAGCTAGTGCCAAAGTCTCCACCACATCTAACGTGGCTCCGCCTCTACATCCAATAAACATGTAAAAAGTCAATTACAATATATTTTCGTCATCTTTCATATTTACTAGTATATTTTAAACTATATTATACTCTTTTGAGAATATTTTAACGGAAAAAATATTTCTTCGTTCATTAGAGACAAAATTATTTTCAGTGAACTCTGATCCGGATAAATTATAGGCCCATTAGAAGTCCAATGTCATACAAGGAAACCCAATCCCATTAAGGATCCAGTGCAAAGCGCGATGGACAACATCGCGCACAAGACGCGATGCTCTCATCGCGCAAGACAAGACGCTATGCCCATATCGCGGAGAAAACCATCCTTAAGGAAGCTAACTTAAGACCCAAGGCAATTCCACCGCGCCTTTATATCAATAAACAGAAGACAGCTCCAGCTTGCCGCGACTCTATGGCTTGACATTAAGAAGATAAGGCTATTCCAATTCTAGCACTGACCTGCAGCCCAAGTCTGGCCACTCAGAGGCCAAGCCACCTTGCTAAGGCGACATCATAACCACTATATAAGCAAATGGTACAACACAAGGTACGATCATCCATTACATTAATAACATACAAACTCCTGCCTTTGATACTGACTTAAGCATCAGAGTAACTTCACAGGTATCCCCATTCGGAGTCGTCGCGTTACAACAAAGGACAGAGACATAGAAAGATCCAACTTTGATTCGAGGCCCAAGACCAAGAACAACAATCCACATCTCAACCGTGTGTGATTAGGCTCGATACATATTGGTCAGCCCATAATGTATTTGGTCTAATCAAGCTCAAATTACATCGGTTTGGATTATAAAATTAAAAAATTCTAATGATAAAGACAAATATAACTTGCAATATATTATAATTATAAAAATACCTTGATTTCTGCTTCAAAACGACATCAATTTGGACATACCGAAAATAACTTATTTCCATTGAATGAGGAAATTCTTTACCCATATTTTAATGGGGAGAATTATATTTACAAACTTTTTATTTACAAACTCTTACAAACTATATTATGTTCTCCCGAGAGAACACTAGATTACACTATGTTCTTCCGGGAGTACATATTGTAATTTGTAAACGGATCATTCCCCTATTTTAATATCTAAATCTACTCTGACTGACCAAGACTAGGGGTGTCAATATAGGTTTTGACACGAGGGTCGACCCGCGACACGACACAAAAATTTGTGTTCGGGTTGACCCGGAAAAAAATTCGTGTCGTGTTCGTGTTGGAAAAAATGACACGTAAAAAATTCGTGTCGTGTTCGTGTCGACCTGTATTTTTTTTAAATTATTTTATTTTAATTTATTATTATTATTATTTTAATTTTTTTTAATATCGATCCATTTTTTTATAAAAAAATTGTCAATTACCATTTTGACCCCTATTTTGCGTGTTATTCGCGTCGTGTCAACTCGCAAAAAATTCGTGTTGTGTCAGTGTTGAAGATTTTTACACGAATAAAAATTCGTGTCGTGTTAGTGTTGATGTATTCGTGTCGTGTCGAATTCGTGTCGTGTCGACCCGTTTTGACACCCCTAACCAAGACACATGTCTCTTTTCTATATATATAAATTTCAATATTTTTCTTTTAATTTTTAGTTCAAATTTTATTTAAAGTGAAGATATATATATACAATACACGTGATACTTACGAGGAAAAAGAAATCAGGTGAGTATAATGAATAAAACCTAAATCACATTTCGATAAAGTCAACAAACTCCAAATCATAAGAGAGGTAGGCTTTATTCGCGTAAGCGATTACAAGCATAGAAACGTATTAAATCTCAAATTTATGTTAAATAAGTTTGTGGGTTAATTGACACCATTACACCCGAAAATTTAAAATAGAAAAAAATGTGTGTTATATTAAAGGAGGTAAAATTGTGTCATTTTAAGAGAGAGAAAGAAATAGATAAAGAAAGAGAGAGAGTTGACAAAAAAAATAAAGGTGTGGATCTTACCTCTTTATAAAAGTGAAAAGATATAAATTATGTCATTTAAAAAGATAAACGTTCTTTCCTTTAAAATATGGGGCAAGCACATCTTTTAAATGGAATATGCTTGAACACGCGTATAATTTGGGTAAGTTAGTTTTATGTGAGGTAGGTTCCGCACATATTACACGCCACATAGGGTACCAAAACCAAAGACCATTTAAATTTAGGCTTCCGAACCAAACACGAGCTTCCTAAAAACAATTTAGGCCACAACTCAATCAATTCCATAACTATTCATGCGTTAACGATTGAATATATTGTGTAACTTTTGATAATATATTATAAAAGAGCTATTTTATTCACACATCAAAGGGGAAGTTTGTAAAAAGAAAGAGCTGTTTCCATTACTTTTCCAAAAGGAGGAAGTGTATAGAAATAAACATCACCTTTATCCCAAATCCCAAATTAATTGAGGTTCCCAGTCAATGAATTCAAATAAAAAACATAAAAAATTGAAAAATAATAAATAAAAGAGAAAAAATAATAAATAAATAAATATAAAAAAAAAATCTTTTGCAACATAAGATATAATAAATCTACACTAATAGCTTTGCTCCTCTTAGTGGATGAATAACATTACACATTAATATTAACCAAAAAAAAGTAGTATTCAATAATAATATGGACAACCTAAACCTACTTTCGAGGAAATTATAATGATATCCATGTAATTTTTAATAAAATTACACTTCCTCCGTACAACCCTCCCATACGGCTAAAAAATGCAGAGTTAAATATAGTTCTTAAAAGTAAAAAAACAGCCCTGAAATTTTGTCAAATCTTGGGGAAGATCATCGTAGTTTCCCCAACTCTTTTTTTTACACAAATGAGTCATTAACAACTTAAATATGAGTATAATCCCACTCCGTCCAAATCATCAAGCTATTCCAGTGAATCCATTTGATGTTGCTAGTGGTGATGGTGTTTTTTTTTCCCTCAAAAACCTTGTAGATCAGCTGGTAAACTGCAGAGTAACTGAACCACCCCTTCACCCCCTCAATCACTTGAGAGTATTTTCAGAAAGCATATAAACTCAGGATTTCCGAGCCAGTAATTCGCATGTTATTACATCATCCATGGATGAAGCAGACCTCCCAGCACCTATGACAGGAACTATGTTGAAGATTGGTTCCTCACCATTTTTAACTTCCTTCTGACTCATTTCAGAAAGTTCCAAAAATGCATTGCTGAGCATAGGCTGCAATAGCTCCACTGACATTTGAAGGCTTGCCGGGACGTAGAACCTCAAACTCTGCATTGAGATGAGAAGAGAATTTGAAAGTTAAACTGTAAGAAAATGACCAGGCCCATAAAGAACACAACAATGGGGGAATGGAATAAAGCTGATCACTGGGCTTTTTATCTTAAGAATAATTATAGTTTGCTGATTCCCTTTTTCTAAATCACCTATACTACGCTTCAATTTCCTTTCCAAGAGGAGAAAGACTAAAAAATGCAGGGATACTTTTTGAGCGCAAATGAACATGAGGAGCCACATAAATTATCTGAATCTAAATAAATTGTTAATTAAAGAATGCAAGGAATTTTTAAGCTTTTCATTTATCTCCCTCCCCCAAAGGTTTGAGGAAGACAGTACAATCCAGAGAGGGGTTTGTACTGAATGCACAACTAAAATATGATCCAGACAATGGAGGAAGGAATAAAATTAATCTGGTAGATGATATTTTAAGAAATATACTAACCATTATATCTTCCCAGGCAAAGTCATTATCTGTTATAACTTTGTCAAGAAGATAAATGCAGAACTTCGATAACTTCTCCATATGCGCCTTAGATGGAGAATATTGACCATTATTGACATAATCAGCAGGCAGAGAATCAAAACATATCTTTGCAGCCAGCTCACTTGTAATGGACAATATAAAGGCACATATCTTTCCAGAAATCACACATTTCTGAATGCAAGAATCATGCCAATTTTCCCGCTTGAAACCCCAATAACACGGTGTCTTTGAACTAGATCTTTCTGTTATGGTCTCAATTCCTACCTCTGTGCCATCCTCAACAAAAAGAATAGGCTTTACTTCTACACATGCTCTAAAAAGCCAAAAAGTGAATATGCCAACAAAATGTTAGCATCCATGACATAAATTATGAGAGGATTCACAGAAAATAAAATCAAAAACAATGCAAGGATTCAATAAACTCCAATCCCCTTCTAACCACCCATACCCCAACTGCATAAAATGGAAAACAAAAAGGAGAATCCAGATATCTGATAATGTCTCAAATCAAAGGAACCAAATAGATGACATTTGTACTTTTTCTTTCTCCTTCAGAGCAGCTTTTTTGTAGTTATGTTGAGAACACACAACTGATAAAGGACACCACAACCTTAAAATAATGAAACCTAATAGAAACAGATAACAAAAGAACCATTTTTTCAAAATAAAAAGCAGATAGCAAATTGTAATTTCTAAAAATATAAATGGGCCTCCTTTACAAGTTATAGATCCATGAAAGTGTAAATATGTGTTGATCAAACAAGAGGCACAATTAAGAAACTAGAGAATCATGGGATACCCTATAGTACCTTTTAGGTAGATCAGGAACAAGGACATAAAGGAACATGGGATTTAAAGCTTTGTGAGTGTCTCCTTCCTGTAAATGGGAGATCTTCATCTGCCTAAGGATTGTTTCTTGTTTCTCCTGAACATCAAGTCTCTCCAATGATGACATATATTTAGAACAGTAAACAATGAAAACGATTGCAGATGTCGATATTGAACAATTAAAGCATTTTGCGACTGCTTCACTGTTTTTTAGTGCTTGTTCCAGTTCAACACCAGGGCCTCCATTGCAAAGATTCATTGTAGGAGGGTCAAGCCCCAATTGACCAGCCATGTGAAGTATACCCTCATGCAAGGTTGCCTGAAAGCAAAAGCATTAGAAAGAACAGAAGTGTCACTAGACAACATTTCAATGTAAAAACGTGTACCATACATCAACTATAAAAACGATGGTATATTAGGCAAGCTGTTACAAACCCACAAGCAAGAATTTAGGGAAGAGTTCCAGTAGACAGTTACCCAAGCACATGGAGAATTGGAGGGGAATAAAAGGGAGAAGGAGGAAATTCAGTGGGGCAGTTATCCTTTTGGAAAATCCAAGAATTTAGGGAAGAGTTCCAGGTCTCTCAAACACCTGGGTATCTGTATTTCTTCTGTAATTCTCATCTTCTATCGCAGATCTGATATCTCTTTGATACAGATTAGGGATTGAGGGTGTTAGAATATATGAAAAACATTTCATAATATTTCAATTGGTCCTAACTCCTGGTTATCTGTATTTATTCTGTAATTCCCATCTTCTATCACAGATCTGATATCTCTTTGATACAGATTAGGGATTAAGGGTGTTAGAATATACGAAAAACATTTCATAATATCTCAGTTGGTCCTAACTCAACTTGACTCTACAATAACAGAATTCATGCTTCAACTGCTTTCAGTTGTGTCCCAAGTCAATTTTCATAATGATATAATGAAACAGAACACAGATAACATATGCAACCTTGCTGTTCTGTTGATAAAAGATTGACTAGTGAGAACAGTGGGGTTCACCTGGCTGTATGGCCCAATGCAACTAGGTGCCCAACATGAAATACTCTGCACATGCAAAACCTTTTTATCTTTATTGTTTGCTACCAGAACTTCAATGTATGCTCTGCTTAAACCCATTTCTACCAGAGGCATTTCAACTGTACTACGGGATGGGACACCAAATGGGCACTTCTCCTGTGTTATAAACTTCACATATGTCTCATTTGCCTCAGAGAACTTATTCATGTCATCAATGTAAAGGTGGATATAGAGGACATTCTCCCAGCCCAAACCAAAGCCCGCTAATTGTGATTCAATTTTCCCCAAAACAATCTCCAAATCTTCCTGCAAACCTGCATTAAAGAAATAAGACAATTGGTGTCAAAGAACAAAATAATGATGCAGACTAAGAGGCAACTTAAATCATTTAAAAATAACACAGAAAAAGTAGAGAAGAATAATCAGGACCATTGCATGAATCTTGCAACCAGCAACATATGGAGAATGTGCACTTGTTATTTGTTCTTGAAATGTTAAATTTATGTCCTACGCCGTCAACTGGATCAGCACTATAATCCACAGGCTTCCATGTGGTTTCACATCTTTCTAGACTGTCTTGAACTTCAAACACAGATCCCTGTTTCTGTATAGAATCCTCATGTATTTTGTCTTGTAATTTTAAAGCCTGATCGTCTGCCTTATTTTCCAAGTGAAATACCACGGGATGAAGGATTCCAACAGGAGCTATGGAATTTGAAGAATGCAACACAATTTGATATTCATCAAGCACAATGCGAGCATTCTGAAAAATTTAAGGAACATAAAGATAAAAGAAGAAAATGGAAATGAAATATTGATTATAAATTTGAAGCACAACAAGTAACCAATTTACAAGATTGAATTCTCAAGATCAGTAGGATCAAAAAACTGCCATCAAAATAAATAAATGCAAATTGTTTTTATGGATGACAACAACTACACTCAAAAGGACAACAGGAAATCCACAATGCATAGTGGACCAGCACAAGACGTAAAAATGAAAAAGCAACAGTAGACCCCCAAGAATAAGAGAACGATTTTCAGTTAACCACAACAATGATGGTATGAACTTACAATAAAGAGGGGGCAATCTAGAGTTAATGTTTCATATTCCCCTCCTTCACCACAAACATTGATTCCGTATAACCTGCAAAAAAGTTAAAAGAAAGGATTGGGTGAAATGCAAATATAAAACCACCAAGAATTATGTTATTCTATAAACTTAGAAGAATTTACACATATATGACACATAAAAAGGGAGGGTGAATAATGTTGACATACTCTTTCAATTTATGCAAATAAGCATTTAAGAAGGCTATTTCTTTACCCAAGTGCTTTGCAGGATCCAAACCCAAGGCAGCTACCTAGTAACAGATAAAGCATTAAAGTCCAAACTAACAGTTCTCCAAGTAAATACAAAAACAAGTTGAACATAATAATTCGAAGGTAGAAGGAAATAGCTTCACTTGTATAACTCTTTCTTTTTTGGCTGCATATCACTCATATAACTCATCGCCATACATTTAAAGCAACCCTTGAGTTTTACAAGATTATTAGCATCATGGAATCTTCGAATGTTATCAATTGATACCAGACAAGATGTTCAATGTTATCAAAGCAACAGTAATATCTCTCTGCACTGATGATAAGAACAGCTATATGATAAGAACATAACAATTCCATCCCATTTAAAAATGAAAAAGAAAAAAATATAAAGAGCAATAACCATTAGAAGCAAAGTTAAACAAGTTATACCTTCACAGTTACAGCCACAATTCCATTTGCAATCTGGTCAGAACCAAAATGGAGTTAGAATTATCTGAACAATGGGGAAGAAATTAAAATCCTAATATGCAATTGCATACATGCATGACAATCAATTATGCTGCCAATAGTCCAAAAGACCAAAACATAATTTACCATTTCCTGGAGGAGCAATGACTGATCTTGTTTCCATAAGTATGCCAGAGAAACAAGGCCTAACCTTGAACAAACACTTTCCACCCGCAATCTCTGATAGTCGGATGCAATGGCTCCAGAAGACACTGCAGTAACTGAGGGTATCTGCCTTTTCACTTCACGTAGCAAAATAAACATATCTTCGACTTCATCACCTTGAGTTGTTTTGTAACCAAGCTCCTGATGCCTATCAAGAAAACATCAGTTAAAGGTAAAAACCGAGCATTAAATAAATAAAAATATTATCAAGACTAGGAAAATACAATGTATAGAACATTGTCCAGTAAAAAAATTTCAGATGGTATAGCTTTGGTTACAGGTCAATGAGGTCATGGCTTCAAAGGTCAGCCAACCAACCAACCACCCACAGTCATACAAGACTGAAGTGCCAAAGGGATTAAAAAGCAAAGAGAAAAAAAAGAAAAGAGGGGGGGCTTAGAATCATTCTAGCAGGTGATCTTGAACTATGTAGAAAAATTAGTGTTTACTTAGATACATACGAGTGAAATCCTTGAAATAATGATAACAAAAAATATATGATGTACCTTGATCTCATTATATGCATAGCAAGCCATTTTATAAGCATTAATACATGATTGGCAACTAAACAATTTTCTTTGAACTTTCATAATCTATATAGTATGTTACTAGGATCTTTGCGCTTAAATTAACTAAACTAACCTATCCTACTGATTTCACTAAAATAAAATAATTAGTTTTATTAAAAGATTTATGTTTAGAAGGCTTGCCTTGAGGATCCTTGTATTCTCCTCCTGAACAGTGGCAATCCCATGCATTCAGCAAAGCTGATGATAATTTGATGCCCAACCTGAGGAAAGCATTGAGCAGCCCATTTTCATTTTCAAACATGAAGGGAACACATATAAACAGTAAATATAAGCAGAGGTCTAAGATGGTGACCGTCTAACAGTTACTTCATTTTTATTTTAAAATATTACTAAAGCAAAATCCAAATAACAAAAAAAAAAAAAAAAAATTATCAGGAAGAAAGGGTCAATAAAGAGAAAGATAGTCAAATTGGCAAAGAGTCTAGAACCTGCTATCTCATCCTTTACCTTATCATAAAGTGGGAAGGGATTTCATCAGGTTCAAAGTTTAATTTGCTCCAATCAACAGCTTCACTTCCGAAGCTTCAGTTTAATTTAATCCAAAGAATTCCCAACATTCTACTTCCACAATATCCATAAACACACTAGAACTACTCTGAAACTTTCATAATACTTTACCATACAGTTTCTAGTGTACCCTACAGCTTTCAAATCAGAAGGCACAACACACCAATATTTCACAAAAAAGAGCAAGGTAGTCAAAATCAAAATCCTGAGATCCTACTAGTATACTAACGATTTTGACTACCTTGCTAATGGTGGCACTAGTTCTTATAGACATCTTGTAATTCCCAAATTGTGTCAGATGAAAATTTAAATTTGTAATATAAAAAAAATCCTTTTTTTTTCAAAAGAAATTAAAAAAAAAAAAGAAGTTGAAAATTGGAATTGATTAGTGGAGATAATGAAAGAGGAAAATGAAAACGAGGCATACAGTTTGGTACATGTAACTGTCGAGCTCGTCTACTGAATCATCAACCGGCATCAAATTCGCCAATGCAACAATCTATTGCAACACCACCAATTAGAAAATAATAATAAATAATAATAATTATGAAAATCAAAAAAGAAAACCTGGTGGCCATATTGAATAGACTTCATCATGGCATAGCAACTGTCTTTGCCGCCGCTAACGAGTGCCACCACCTTCATCCTCGTCAGCTTCCACAACTTGATGCAGAGTTCAGTTCAGTTCAGTGTTAGGGCAGTCACAAAAACGCTGCGTTTTTGGTTGCTGTTGCGTTGTCGTTGGAATGTTGGGCTTAGTTCAGTTCAGTTTCAAGTAACAAGAAAGTAAATGATTTAAATTTTTCTAATTGAAAATGCATGAAAGGTATTCTAATATTTCTTTATTAGGTTTAATTTACAAGATAATATATTTAAAATGAGGTAAAATCAAAACATTATCAAGAGTATCAAAATTATTTATTTAAATTATGAGTTTTTTAATTAAAAATAAATTTAGCTATATTTAATATAAAAAGTAAATGGAATTTATTTTTTATTTCTCTTTTCTCTTTATTAGACTTATTTATTTATTTTTTATGTATTACACAGATAAAATTATTTGGCGGTGGTGCCGTTGCCAGTTAGAACCTGTAGTTGCCGTTGCTGCGTCATGATTGATTAACTGTTAAAGAATCTTTCACGGTCATAGAATATCATATATAAATAATATATAATAAAAACTAAAAAAAAAGTTTTAAATTTTGTTTTCAAAATAAACTAAAATAAAACAAAACTAAACATGATTTAACTCATTATCTCATCTAAATGTTATTTTTTATATTAATCAAAGTTTCATAATCTAATCCCTAAATTAAAAAATCATTTTTATTTGTTCCTCTCCCAATGTATTTATAGTATATTTGGTAAACAATTATTTTAAAAAATCACTTTTTTCGAAATTTTTTTTCCAAGATTTGTGTTTGAAAGTTTTTTGCAAAAATAAAATAATCTAAACATGTGATTAATTTAACATCTTGTTGCGATAATTTTTTTTTATATATGTATTAATTATTAAACTGGAATTGAATCCTTTTATGTCTCATGATGTGAAAATATTCATTCCTTTATTAAATATGATATGCTAATATATCTTTCTAAGTTTGGTTTCCTGTTTGCAAACCACATTGTTAGAATTCGATATGAAAACAAAATATGAAATAATAAATTGTGTGTTCACACAAATTAATGATACTACCGTATCCTAATCACGTTTAAATAATTGCAATGTGCAAGTGATGTTATATAGAATATTACTAATTTAGTTGGACAAATAATTTAAGTATTTTTTTCTATATCAATTGGATAAGTAATTAAAGAGTTTAAATATTAATGATATATAAATAATTAATTTAATTTAACAATTGATTACTTATATGGGTTTTATAATTCTCATGATTACTAACAATTGATTACTTAGTTGTAGAGATAAAAAGTATGTGGGACCCATGTGTTAGAAAAAATTATATGTAGGACCCATGTCAGCACGAAAATCGAAAGATGTGTAGGAAAATTGTAATTCTCATGTTAAATGAGAATTATAAAACCCTACTTATATATGCATGTATATCCGACATCAAGGGAGAGAGGTATTTAAGATATATTTTTTTTATGTGTGTTCTAAACCCTTGATTTGGGCTTTTTATGTTATTCACTTCCAAGACAAGATAAAACATTCATATCACAATTTTATTTTATTTTCTCTCTTTCACTTACAATAATCATTTTTACATGTAGTCTGATTTCAGGCTGATGGCTAAAGTAAAATTATTAATATTAGTACCAAAAAATTCTAACCCTGAATTCATTGGGTTCTTCTTAATTATATACTAATCCAATTAAGCTTTTGATAAAATAACATAAACTCAACATACCCCCATATAAGAGCTTTTTTTCTACAGAGCCCAATTCTTACATATAAATCTTTTTCCTTTTGCACTACTCGATCGTGGGACATATTAATTTGAACGTTGGAGTTGGAGACTCTAGCTGTAGGTGAATCAACACATATTACCCACCACAACACACACAGAGAGGAGTAACGTACAAGTGAATCACTTCCAATAACCAAAAAAGAGACATAGATTTGACACAGCAACTATCTGTCTCCCATTAACCAATATGCAGCTAAATATAACATTATTTCAAGTGACGAATGAGTTGATTATATGACGTGATTTATTAAAGAGATTATGACGAACGAAATATTTGTCATAAACAATTTTTTTGGTGGATAAAAATAATTTTAATAATATAAATTTATATTAAAACAAAAAAACAACAGAATAAAATAGGTGCTAATAGGCCACCAACGTGGTTGAGGTTGTGATACATAGAAATAGAAGATAAGCGTTATCGGAATATTTACAGGCTAAGGTGTGGACTTGACTTGCATGGCCAGAAAAGAAAAGAAAAGAAAACTCTACTTGCATTCTTTTTCAACCGAAATCTGGAAGAATAATGCTGTGTGCTACCTCCATGAGAGAAAATAGTCTCTTACATTGTTTAAGTTATTTAAATTTATCAAAAATATTATGCACTTTAAAGTAAAAAATGATTACTCAAGTTCCATAAAAAAATAAATAAAAAAAAATCAAACATTTCCAGAATATAGTGCATAAGTGACAAATTTTCTGATAAAAAGGGGTATATGCTTTTCATAAACCGGGTAATTTTTAAATTCTCTTTTATTAAAATGTTTAAATTATTATTATTCTATTACTAGTTTTTCTCATTTTATTAGATAAAAATATTGAGAGGAAAAATAAGTTTTAAAACGATTAATAGATTCTTAATATTTAAGACAACAAAAAAAATTTAAAATAAAACAAATTTGTTTTTTAGAATTGAACTACCTACCTCGAAATATAAGATACTATAAATTCTTATTTTTCATTATTATTATCACTGTTTATCATAACAAATTTATTAATTTTTCCACTTATAAAAAATAGTAAAATTAACCGTTTATTAAACTCAATAAGTCATTTTTACGCGATATTATTGACGGATAAAACACCTTTTAGAAGTAACTTAATTAGAATCCAATCTCTTTCAAAAAGAGATAATTTAAAATGACAAATAGAATTTTCGTTAATAATTTACTTTAAAAAATAATTATTTTTTCAAAATATTTCACCAAAAACTGTAAAATCATTAATCATAAAATAAATTAATTTAAGCACGCGTTAAATAAGTCTTGCATATGGTTTTCACTAAAAAATAAAAGAAATAACTATAAAACTAACATGCCGAGGATTAAAATAAAATCGAAAGTTCATAGTTATTATTTGATTCATTTATCTTTTATTTCATTAAATAATAATAATAATATTCTTTTTTTTATTAAAAATTAAAAGACAATAACCCTACCAATAATAATAATAATAATAATAATAATAATGTTATTATCTTCCCACAAATAGCAGAAATTTGACCCTTTCTTTGGAAAAGGTGCACATGGATGGCTTTCCATAACATGTCAAGTCAAGCTTATTCACCACTTCTCAGATTAAGTTGACACAATTCTACCAATTAGGCCAAGTGATGAATCAAGTGATTCATGGATGCACAATTCAAAGCCCATGGTTTTTCTTTAGCGGAAATATAAAATTTTATCCTACTACTCGTATTATTTTACTCATCTAAACTTGATAAAAAATTCCCTTCTTTTGGCTATTTATTCTTTTGAAGATTAAAAAAAATAAAATAAGTAACACCATTTATAATCTAACTTGTTATTTGTTCTTTTATATACCAAGTAGCAAAAATGAACGAATCATAGCTGTAATTTCAACATAAGATTTAAGCACTAAAGAACAAGAAAGCCAACACATGCATTGATTCTTGAATATGGACACAAAAGGGAAAGGGTAGGAGGATTTTGTATATGCCTATATAGGTAGGTAATATGCAATAAGATACTAAGAGGTTGTGCTAAAAGGTTGAATCAGTAATGGGAGGACCCAGGTATTCAATTCCATCCATTTGAGAATTTTCTGGCATCTCAATTTCTTCCAACCATGCATATCTATCATTTTCCTCTTTCACCTTAGCAATCTTTTCTTCTGCAGAGGATAAACCATTAATGGTAAGAGACATTGCAATAACATGCAAATAGGGATAGTGATGCCTAAATGTGGACACAAGACCTGAAAGATATTATCTGTTAATGTTTATGCATATATGTGGCTCAATTTTCATTTACATTTTCAATATTGAACCACATCAAGTTGATATAAGGTGAAAATATTTGAACCCCATGTTTAATTTTTTAAAGCAAAGATTTCATGTTACGGAAATAAGCAAAAATATCATCATACTTGCAATCAATGTAAATTTATCTAGTAACAATTCCTCATGTAATATAATAGTTGTGCAAAATGAGAAAGGGTTGCTTACTGGGAAATGGAGCATAAGGGTGATCTTTGTAATATGTACAGTCCCTGCCATCTGCTTTGGAATAAGGAGGACCAATGACATCAAGCACAGCACATGGAGTTATGGCTGTGAATTCATGGATATTGCCTCCTGTTGTTGGATACAACACAGAAGTATCACATGGTGCTGTGAAGACATTATCAGCTTTTAACTTTGCCAATCTCACTGCAAAAACAGTATCAATTTTCAAAAACTAATAAACCTCATGAATTCATGGTCATTGAAAAATGAAAAAAGAGAGAGAACCTACATTTAGATGGTTGTTGTAACAAGTTTTCAGAGGCCTCAGGATCAAACCAATCATAAGACTTAATGTGCATTTGTCCTAATAGAAGCTTGCTGAAAACAGTCATGCCTGGATGGTTATGGAGAGGAATGACTCCTGTTTCAGGTAGGAAAAAGATGCATAGCTGCATGTCCAAAATAAAGAAGTGACCATAAATTAGTTAAACACACTAGCAATTGCAGTGGTGAGTGGAGAAACAATGAGAACAAAATTTGAGCTTGCAACACTTACTGAGAAATCATCACACTTGTATATTGTTGTGTAAGTGACCCTTTGGTTCTCTTTGATGATATTTCCAGGCTTGAAGAACTGCAGATCTCTACATAGCCCAACATCTTCTGGCTCCATGTAATCTGATTATTAAAGAATCAGAACAATTCTTCAAAATAGACAACCAGGAATTAAAATAATAAAAAAAAATCTCTAAGTTCTAAGAGAAAATAAATTGCAAAGCACATTACATATACTAGAATATAAGTGCATTAATATTAATGCACTTATAGAAAGGAAGGAAACTGGTGTATAAAACTTTCACCTTAACCACTTACAACCACTTTCAACATGCAATGAAAATCACTTAAAAATTCAATCCAAGCATATCTAAGATTTCTGACTACAAAACCTTGAAATATGAATAGATCAAGAGACACTACAAAATTTTCTTATTACTCCAAAGAAACCATACCAAGGATGTGACACAGTTTTTGAACATGTTGTGGTGAAGGAACCGTGCCAGGGCCTTTGAACGTGTCCCTGCATGAATCAAATAGCTCTTGAAGTGTCTTAGAGACCGTCAACACAGGCCTCTTGACCCTGCGATAAGGCTTCCTCTTCTTAGCTATGACCCTTTTCACATAACCAACCTTGTTAACATGTCCAACTCTGTCCCTACCCTGCTCCACCAAACCTGCCTCCATTCCCTTCCCTTCCCACCCACACACCAACAATATCTCCCTTCAAATGTGAGCCAAATCTTGTATGTGAAAACTCAACACTGAATAAGCCTCAGTCCTTTCACATGAACATTTTTACACACCCAATAGATCAATCTTCCTTGGACTCCCAGGTAACAGTTTTGCTTCAACTTTTGGATTGAGAACAACACAAGCACATAAAATGAAAAGGGTAGCTTTCAAAACTCTCAAATGAAATAGTTATGGTTTACTCAAAGACTCAAAATAGTAAGAAGGATAATATTTGATGTTTTGCACGGCAAAAGTATATTAAGAGGAAACAAGAATTCTAGGGATGATATATGTAAGATTAGGATGAAATTTTGAGATGATAATGATATATATATACATGAAAGAGAGAGAATGACATAAAATATCAAAAGCTTGAAAACTAGGGGCAATATGACATGGTATTGTGCTACTGTTTTGGTTGACAACAGTGTTAAAGTTAGACCAAAGAAAAAAAGAACAAAACCAGTGTTTTGGTGCACTTCCCAGCCCCATAGATTGTTTGGAAACTGGCGGTTAAAGCGACCCTTGTTTTGTGGTTTAAGACGGTGAGCTAAGCCTGAATTTACCAAAAAATCCACGTGTTTAAAGGTTGACAGTGTGGATGGGAAAACTTTTCTATATTCTCTGCTGCTGGTTAAAAACCAAAACAGCTAAACTTAAAAAAGGTAAATGAGTTAATGTGATGTGCATGGCCACAAAAACCAGGGTGCTTGAGTTTATAGAAAATTGATAAAAACGTGAAAGGAAGTCACAAGTGTCACAGACTTGTTTCACATTTCATAAGTTAACCATGCCAAGTGGCTTCCTCACTGAGATTGACGCAAATAATTGTAAGACAGCTTGATATATCTTATCTACATGTTCTTGGTTTATGGTTTGCCAGTGTCGTGGTTTGTTTTAAACTTATCATTTATTATTATTATTTTTTTTTTTGAATTATACTGTTTTCACACATTTTATACAGCTTTTGAGATAATGAAGTTACATACAGACCCTTATTAATTTAACCCGAATTGGTGATGTAAAGAACCAATTCAACCCAAAAGCTTAAGTTGTTGGGTGAGGTTACATTAATGATTTTATACATCTCAACATGTCCCCTCACACGACGGTACACCAAGGCTCTAATACTATGTAAAGAACCAATTTAACCCAAAAGCTTAAGCTGTTGGATGAGGCTACATTAATGATTTTATATATCCATGTAAAGAACCAATTCAACCCAAAAGAGTTGAATTGGTTCTTTACATGATATCAGAGCCTAATTGTGAGGGGGCATGTTGAGATATATAATTCCACATTGGTTGTATAAGCAACTAATGTGGAGTTTATAAGGCATTGGACACTCCCACCTTTTAAGTTAGCTTTTGGAGCAGTGTATCCCAAGGTTCTTTACGGATTAAATAACATGTAAAAATGTTGATAGCAAACAATTTTTTTAAGGAATATTGCTTTGAACTTGGAACTAGGTTAAGTTTAACCACAATAGTGCTTATATAATTATCTTTAAAAAAAGGGACAACTTCAAAAATTCTCCGGTAATTTTATTCATAATCATTTATTTCCTTCCCAAAATTTTGAATCATTTATCCCCCTAAGTGAGGGGTAAATGATAAAGAAACTTTAAGTCAAAGGAATGTAAGTGATAAAAAAAATCTAAATAAAGATATAAATGATTCAAAAAAATTGTGAGGGGGTAAGTGATAATTAAGAAAACTCATAGGGGTTTTTTTGAAGTTTTCCCTTAAAAAAACTTGATATTATTAGAAATACGGAAAAACTTGTGTACTTAATTTTTAAAAAATATAACGTTGTATAATTTTAGATCTTAACAGTTGATTTTCGTCAATCAATCAACAATTGTAATTTATTGCGTCAAACTTATTATTAATTAATTAATAAATTTGACTCAAAAAATTATAATCATTGATTGATGGAAATAAACAATTAGGATCTAAAAGGACATAACGTTATATTCTTTAAAAGAACAAATATTTTTTCCTTAGAAATATATTTAAATTAATTTATTTTACAGTTAAATTTTTTAAAATTCGATTATATCTCTTTAAAAGTAAAGCAAGTTATTCTAAAAACACGCACAAGATAATTATTAAATATAATTAAAATAAATTATTTTATTGAATTTCTTATAAATGAAATATCACTCAATTGTATTCTTTGAAATATATTATGCATTTTGATCTTAAAGATAAGAGGTTTTTTTTTTTTATACAAAATGTATCATAAGGTGCCAGAAAACTCCATGTATGCGGGACTAATTCCTGGTCGAGTATATCAGATTTACCATTACTAGAAAAACACTAATTTATGGCGTATTCAAAGCCTTAATTTACATTAGTTGAAAATTAGATTGATTTAGTAAAATATTCATTCATATTGATTAATGGGTCTAAATGAAGAATAAACACAAGTCGGCATGTGCAAATATATCCTGATTAACTAAAACATAAATAAAAAAATGTAATGATATAATAAAATCAAGGAACACGGCTAGAAATACATGACAAACTATAGAGATTGTGTTTATCTACAGGAAAATAATAATTTAAAGCGATGTCAGTGATAAGCTCTATCCATATTTTTGTCCACTGACACGAAAAAATGTGCACCAAAGATCTGTTGCACATTCTTTCGCTCGTGGCAAGAAACACTCGTTCATCTTCTCAGAATACAGGAACAATAGTCTCCTTTCATTTCTGCAAATAAACATGGCGTTTGTGATATCTGTCATTTTATTAAACACAAATGCTTGCCATTTTCTGTTGGTGTAAACAAAGCTTCGTGAATGTATGAGCTGGTTCATATGGGGACCATTCTCCAAGTCCCCCTTGTCAGTTCATGGAAATAAGTATTCCTCATTGTTTTATATGACTTTAGCAGATTTCTTTGGGTATTTTTGTTAAAAGCTGTCTAAAGTTCAATTACAAATTCAGAATTTTGTCAGTTGAGGTTTTTTTTTTTTTTTGGATAAATCACAGATATCTTTCTTGGTATTGAAATACCTCATGTATTAAGTGAATTCAACTCGCTAACTTTTACACGTTGATTATACAATATTTATAGAAGCTCAGAAAATAGAGGATTGAGCTTAACCAATCTAATACTTGAAAACAGAAAAACTAACTTTACAACTATATGCAGTTAGTCAGGTACACTCTTTGCTGACGTGGACTTGGACGTGTGAGAAGCTTTATTCTCCAATAGCCCCCCACAAGCTGGGCGATGTATGTCAAGCATCCCCAGCTTGGATACAGCAAGAGAAAACACGCTAGGGCTCAATGGTTTCGTAAACATATCTGCAAGCTGATTACCAGAGTTGATGGGAAGAAGATGCAGCAAACCAGACTGAATCTTGCTACGAGTTACATGACAATCGATTTCAATATGTTTCGATCGTTCATGAAAGGTAGAATTATGAGCAAGGTGAATAGCCGAATGACTATCGCAGTACACAGAAGCTGGGCGAGACCACGAGAGACAAAGGTCTTGAAAAAGAAATTGGACCCACTGGAGCTCGCAGGAGAGGCTAGCAAGAGCTCTATACTCGGCTTCGGAGGAGGAACGACTTATGGTGGTTTGTTTCTTCGAACGCCAAGTAACGAGAGATGAAGCGAGAAATATGCACAAGCCAGCTACTGATTTTCTGGTGTCGGGACAAGTGGCCCAATCAGCATCGGAGAAGGCTTGGACTCGCAAGTCATTATGTGCTGGAAAAAATAAACCACGACCAGGAGCTGTCTTCAAATAGCGTAAAACGCGTTTAGCAGCTGCAAAGTGGGTATCCATTGGAGCTGCCACGTACTGGCTAAGATGATGGACAACATAACAAATATCTGGGCGAGTATTTGTCAAATACAAAAGACGTCCAATCAAGCGTCTATAGCAAGTAGGGTCGGAAAGCAGAGTACCTTGTGAACGACAAAGCTTCACAGAAGAATCCATTAGTGAGCTAACTGGTTTACCACCAAGAAGACCCGCATCAGAAATAAGCTCGAGTGCGTATTTTCGTTGGTTAAGAACGATGCCACGAGAGGAGCGGGACACCTCCAGACCAAGAAAATATCAAAGCTCACCCAAGTCTTTAATTTTGAATTTATCATCTAGCAACCTCTTTACCCTAGAAATCTCAGAAAGGTCAGTTCCACATAAGACTATGTCGTCAACATAGACAAGCAACACTGTAAATGAAGTTTCAGTTTTAAAGGTAAAAACTGAACTATCAGCTTGTTATAACCAAGGGAGAATAAGAAAGAGGACAACTTAGCATGCCACTGTCTACTCGCCTGTCGTAAGCCATAAAGTGATTTTTGTAAGCGACACACTTGACCATGTTTCTGCAAATGAAGACCCGGAGGAGGCATCATGTAAACTTCTTCATTAAGATCGCCATGAAGGAAGGCGTTATTCACGTCAAGCTGATGAAGAAACCAGCTTTTAGCAGAAGCAACAGCTAGTAAGATGCGAATGGATGAGAGCTTTGCAACCGGACTGAAGGTTTCAAAAAAATCTACACCTTCCGTTTGTGTAAATCCTTTCGCTACTAAACGTGCTTTGTAACGTGTAACGTTCAATGCTTCCATCCGAATGATATTTGATCTTATAAACCCATTTGCATCCAATGGGTTGTTTGCCTTCAGGTAAGTCAACTAAACGCCAAGTCTGGTTCTGTTCTAAGGCATGGAGCTCAGATTCCATTGCCTTACACCAATGATCAGATTTGATGGCTTGAGTAAAAGAACTTGGCTCCACATTAGAGGATATGTTAAAGCAGAAATGGGTGTACGTGGGTGAACAGGCGTCATAGGACAGAACATTAGATAAGGGATATTTAGAAAGGGTTGAGGAAAACATACCTTGGCAAAGATTGACATGTTGAGCATTGGATGGGCCACAATGATACTGATCCAGATATTTTGGAGGTACTCTCACTC